AAAAATGGAGGAAATAATTATTTGATCCACATTAAAGTAAACTTTAGTTTAGATAATACAAATATATGTTTTTAAGTTAGAGAGAGAGAGCGAGCGAGCGAGCTTTCTGACAGGCAAAAAAAGAGACAACTTTCTACATGCATTTTAGGATGGACAAATAATAAAAAAAGTCAATTCAATCACTAGTATGTAGGTCCTATTTATGACAAAATACCACATGTAATCAATGGAGTTTCGTCATGATGTGATGCTAATCCTGAAAAAAGCATAACAATTGTCATGAATACGTAGTATACTTTCCTTAAATATTTTTTTTTTGCATTAATTGAAGATATATAATTCTTCTAATACTATTTATGAATCATTTTTAATATATTTTATTAAAATAAAAAATTTAAATTTTCTTAATTTTTTCTTAAAATTTAACAGATTTTTACAGTTACTTTTAATAAATATTTTTAAATTTTATTATTAATATTTTTATTTAAAATATTTAATAAAAATAAAAATGTGAAGAAAAATATTAAAAATTAATAAATATTTTATAAATATGATTGAATTGTATCCTTTTCTATTCTTATAAATAAGATAAGAGGAGGAGTGAGGAATTAATTTTCCTTCCAGATTTGCACAAGAGCAACGTGATGTGGCTTCCTTCTCCGCTGCCCTTTGCCTGGGACACGACCTCTTGCGGGACCCAGCAAAGGCCAATCAAACTTAAACATATCACCTGCTCAACTCATGAGACTGAGAATGACTTGTGTTCCACGCAAGATGAGCGAGTTTAATGATTAAACGAAGGATTTAAATATGTGAATTTCAGTAAAATTTATCATTTTGAATATTTTTTTTATTTTTATAAAATATAAAATATTATATATTTTTCCTTAAAAAGGTAAATTTCATTAAAATTTATATATATTTCAATTTTAAAAGATTTAAATGTTAGATTAAATTGTGAAAATGTTTAATATACGCTAATAGAAATGGTAAGGTGGCATGTTTTTGTCATATTTTTTAAGCCGTGTGTTAATAATTGGGTGTAAAGAAGCAAAATAAATTTTGGGCTTGAGATCTTCAGAGCCAGATATATTAGGCTAAGACATAAAACTAAAAGACTTGGATAGACTCGCTCTGTTTAATAATAAATAATTCAATTTTCGGAAATCACTAAAATTCACAGCACGAGTTCGTGGTATAATTATATAATGTAAATTTCATATTCTTTTGAGAAATAAACTTATTTTTATTTAATTTAATCATTCTTTTTAAATCTTTATTCATGATGACAATAATCTAAATTTGAATTATTGAATTTTAGAATCTTTGTATTATGTTGTATTTTATTTTATATTTAAAAAAATCAAAATTTAAAACTTTAAAAATTATAATTTATATATCATGTTTGTATATGTACTAATCTTGTGTTTAAAAATTTTTAAAAATACAAGCTTTCAAGCCCAACCATAAATTTTTATAACATGAGCCAAGCCTTAAATATAATGTTTTATATAAAAAAACCGGGCTTATCAACTCGAGTTATATGAGCCTAACCAATGAGGACATAACTGACCTATTTTATAATTATTTATATTAATAATGTTGTAATCTAATGCCATCAGATCATCTACTTGACATAAAATTGAATTCAATCATACGTGTGTTTTTTTTTTCGCCACAAATTTTTAATCATACATGCTACCTCTTGTAATCCAATAAAAAAAAATTTAATACACTGTTATATAAAAATAGAATAATATATTACGCTTGTAGTTGGGAACGATAACAAACTAATCTAACTTAATACTATTTAGTAAAAAAATAGAATAACATATATATGAACTCGATGTTATATCCAAGTCAAAATGGTCAATATCAACAGACAAATCTGTCACACATGATAGAGTGAGATAAATTTTTATTGAGTTACTGCTTCTACCCTTATATTTCTACCGCCATTATAGAATTAAAATCATCTAATAAAAATATAAGAAAAAATTAATTATTTAGTTGTTGCAGTTTTGATCTAGTTATAATTTTATTCTGAATTTTAATTACTGTAACTAAGTTTTATAATTTTAACTTGATTATAACTTAATTCCTGAATTTTGACTATTACAATTTTGTCTCTATAATTTAACCATTTAAAATATTAGTTCCTATATTTTAAAAAAATTATAAAGATTAAAAATATTCTAAAATTTTAATTTTTATACTCTTTATAAAGATTAAAAGGATTTATTAACTTAAAATATTAATCCTAAATGTTAATATAATTTTAATATTATAATTTCATTTTTTGTAACATAAGAATTCATATTTTAAATAGTCGAAACTATAAAAACTAAGTTATAAAAGTCAAAGTTTATAACTGAATTATGACTAAATCAAAACTATAAGGATCGAGTTATAATAAATTAAATTCAATAATTGAGTTACAATTAAATAAAATTAAATGACTAAATGATTAATTTTTTAAAATACAATGTTGAATGTTTTTTATGTTATGAAAGAGGACTACATTCTTTTAATTTTTTAACCATTTTTAAATTACATTTGGATTCAGATTCACAAGGAAAAAACAAGCCAAGTGTTTGAGATTAATTATTTAAAAAAAAAAACACACGCACACGCGCACACACGAGTTCAAGAAATAAGAAACCTTAATTGATATGAGCATTCGAACACAGGAACTTTACATCGTTGAGATGCAAAATACCCTCCATATTCATATTAGATATAAGTATACCACACCCACACCCACACCACACAGGTCTTTAACCCTTATATGAATTCGGAATATCCTGTAGAATTGAATCATTTATTTTAAAACTTGCCTCAAAATGAAACGATGACAAGGGGCGAATTATCTTGACAAGTTTCTTCTTATTTCGGCAACTTGTATTAGATTCAATTAAATCATAATTAAGCGAGGCCTAATCTCTAGTTGTTTCCATGTGTTGGCAATTTATCCATCCATTCATGAATGAATAGGACGAAATAAACGGAAATGACGGTTGACAACTCATCGAAGCGTTGTGATGCAAAGCAGGCCAAGGGAGCTTTTGTTTCGTCTTAAATAGTTAAATTACAGAGTCATTGTTTTGAGAAATTACGGAGTCATAGTAAAATTATCAGTTACACCATAACATTTATGATCTATTCAATTAAAATATAATATTATAATAATATTAAATATAAATTAATTCTGAAATTAATAACAATAGAGAGAAAAAAGATATTTTGTTATAAAAATAAAATTAATTAAAATAATGTCACATAAAATTTTATATAGATAACTTGGAGTATCCTAATTGAATAAATTATAAATGATGTGATACACTCGATTCATTTAAAAATTTTTTCATTGTTTGGATGTGCTATTTATGAAGGGATATGGGCAATATAGCTTCTTCTTGCTAACTCAATCTTCCATATCGCTTCAGGGAATTAGTGCTCAGAGAAAACTGTTACTAATTAATTACACACATTCAAATTAAATGATTAAATGAGTAATCACAATAACCTGTGATTATTAATGTGATTTGCTATATTAAATTAATCACTCTTCTGGATAATGATGCATATATGTCGTGCAAGAATAAGATGTTGATAAATCATGCGTAAATTGATATGATTCTTTCTTCTGTTTTTTTTTTTTTAAATAAAAGGAATGTGGATAATCCATAAGGAAAAGTAGAGTTAGATTCAATTTATGAAGATCCACTAACCTTCTACAGTCAAAGGATAAGTAAAGCATAAAATATTAACATCAAGATCCTGAGTAGGCTTGATCAGTCAGTGTGCACATTCATCAACTTCTATATATGCATAATCCAAAATAACATTTCAAAAATTGATATGGCAAATGACAATTTTGGTGTGTGGATATAATTAAAATAACAAGTATGATCTCCCCAGCTAGGATGTCAAAGATTCATGAACCACAAAATGATGTAAAATTCCCATTTGAAACTTGAAAGCTATCATATTTAAAAAGATAAAACATTTTAGTGTTTTATAAGAGTAATTAATGATTTTTTCCCCTAAAAATGCCCTTAATGAATATTTGAAATAAATGGGATTTTCATAGTTATTTATAATTAATTTATTCTATTAAATAAAGGTAGACATGAAAAAACTTAATGATGATGATAATTTTTTTGGAGATGAAAATTAAAAATGCTTTATAATTTTGAAGAGAGACAACATTTAATATAGATTTAAATCCGTGAGGTCCCAGAAGCCTTGTAATGAATGACAAGGATCATACGAAATGATGATGACCAAACGTTAATATAAATACCACCAAATTGGGGTACTTTTATATTCAAGATGTATTCTTCATGCATACTTTTTATTAAATACTAAAGCACACTTAAATAAATACATATAGTTTTTTTTAAATGGCCTGAATACAGGTAATGTGAATATTATAATACTTAAAAACTTCCAGTAAGAATTGTTACAATCAAAAAAATACTCTTTATTGATATATTACACATCATTCCTCTATTTCAAATTAATTATAGTTCCGGAATTTCATTAAAGTATTTTTTTTTCTATTAAAGAGTCAAATACAATATAATAGAAAATCAAGGGCATTTCATTCTAATACCCTAAAATTTTCTATAGTCTTGATCATTCATTTAACAAGCTTCTTAATCTTTATTGCTTATACCTCCTATCTCCTATCAAAGGTAATCATCTTCGAGATACACAGGTAGACACTAAATATATGCATTTTTTAAACGAAATTTTTTTAAAACTGAATCATTAATTTAATCTGTGTGCATAATACATTAAAAAAAAAAAAGGGTTCATTGCCTCAGAGTCACGACGGCCCTGACCCAACAACCAGGAACACGACGAGTGGCTCTTTCTTTCCTCTTTTCACAAACTTCTTGACCCAAATTAAACTTTTGCTTTTGCGGTGGGAATGAAGAAGCTACGCCACAACTTTAGGCCTGTACAAGTAACAAGTGTGTGTCCTATAGGCCTGGCAAAATTGACAATGGTCAACAACATCTTTTCAGGACGTCGCAGCGTGTATACTTCACGGGCATCATGGGGTAACTAAATTAACAGCTCACCAACCTAAACCTAGATAAACTCAACAAAAGAGTTACTTCCACACAGTAATATATGGAAAGTAGTCATTGAGTTGAGATTAAACCCTACCCTCCTCCAAAAGCCCAAAAAAAGTCTTAATTAGTCCATGTGATGTGAGTGCCAACAAATAGCAACTACTAGCAAGCGTGTCTGCCTCACAAATTTTGATCCTTGCACCTGTCTAGCGTCTACCTGCACTTGTCTTCCACAAAAGGGAGCAAACAGATTGTCACGGTTCCCACTGAAAAATCCACCCTCATTTGTATTCATAATTAACATAATGATAGACCAGAATAATAGAGCAATAGCTGTATCATTATGTTTCATTTAGTACGGAACCCCCTTCGTTCCAAGTTTTCTTGCTGAATACCAATTGCATTATGATTCCAGCGCATCGTAATGTGGTATACACAAACAGAGAGCAGTTTCAGTAATGAATCCTGTAATAGAAATTTAACACGGTAAAGTTACTGATAAGAGAACAGCTTCAAAATCTGCAGAATTTTTTTTAAAAGAAACAAATTAGACTATATATATATACGGCAAGAGCCAAAAGAATAAGTCCAATTTGAATGTTAGTTTCTATGTTTTGAACAAATTCTTGCCCTTTGTACCTGTGCAAGTGGTTTTAGCTCTGGCTCTCCATTATGTATGGGGGAAAGATTCTTGAAGGATAATTTTATGGGACCAGTCTCTAATCATAGCCGTCTCTCACATGTCAAATAAACTAGAACTTCCCCGACGAGGGCCCTTTGTGATTTATGCCATCTTTTTCCTCCCCGGAATTTCTCCTACTTTCAATAGTGAGAAAAGCCTTTAGCACTTTGATTCCCTCTCCAAAAAATACGCAATCTTCATAAATCATAGTTTCTTTTCTGGCGTGCAACGCAGTCTTCTCACCAAGTGGCATAAAGATAACAAGGAATGAATAGAACGAATATAATAGAAGAGTCCACAAATATGATATATCTCGACCATCTATTTCCTTATATGGGTTTTGAGAGTTTAGACGAACCACATTATTCATGATTTATAAACCATACAGCTCCCTATCACTTTTATTTTTATATTATACACACACATGTGTATATTGATTTCTCTGATACCTCGCAGGATACATAAGCAAGGTATAATCAGTAGCTAATCATCATATGTGGGCCACAAAGAAAGGTCGGTGGGAATCAGCAGCATTTTAATGTCGGCCGATCCTTAATCTAATTAAAGACTAGTTATGGAGAGAGAGAGAGTGAGAGTAGGGGACGATTTTATGTGAGACAAGGCTGAGGCTTCTTCCAAGAACCTTGAGGACCGCATGGGTTGTGATTGTGTTCACACTGCAATCTGCATTTTCTATAATCATGAATAATAGCAGATAATTATAGAGATTACGAAAAACTGAGACTAGAGGTAAAATGATGTGACGTGCTTGTACTATAATTCCTACGTACCAATTTTGCAATCGAGTTCATTAGGTGATTATTATCAGATATAATATGTCAGTATGTATTACAGTGTTGTTAATGAAATGTTATCATAGAATTTGATAATGAACATTCAAAACCGGACAATAGCACTCTGGTCCATCATTTGACTTGGCATTGTAAGCATCAATATATTTCATTCTGAATCTGCCATTGGAAAACGGGGTCTATATACGATTCCCAGCTCCCCTTTATAAAAATGATGGAGCTACCATCAGCAGGATCAAGCCTAACCCCACGACCACCATTACCACCATTTATATCGTTTCTGTATCCTCTTGTACGCGCAGAATTCTCTGCACCTCCATGCCAGAAAGCCTCCTGTCTGCCACTTCTTATACCCTATATGCCTATTTTCCTCATTTCCTTTGTTTGTCGTATAAAATGGAAGATTTTTCCTACACCCTTTTACCTCTCTGTTTTCTACTTTATCTCGCATTGACTGCGTAAGCTTCCCGATTATTCTTTTGAAGCAGTATATATATCACAGGGATTTTAAGGAAAAGGCAAGCCAAAACGGTCTTAATCCGTGCGTGCAATTCAACAGCCTGACTATATATGTAATCACTTGCGACCATTAGAAAACATAACTGCCTCTACTGTAGCCACAGGAATTCAAACCCAATGTCACTTTCCTGTGCAAAAAACTTCTTCCGGAGGTTCTGGGTTGATGAATTCCAAATGGGAAGTTTTGCACATAGCAGCTTTCTGTCTAACGATCTCCTGCCATCCCTTGGAGCCCGAATCAACCAAGAAACTAGACTACGAAGATACATAATCTCCCCTTTCAACCCCTGGTATAGGTGATGACCCTTAACACAGTCACAATATAAGATCCCTCTTGCAATATTGTGACTGCAGCTTCTCATACGCTCTTACTCTATTACAGGACTTGGGAGATGTTACTGATTATTCTGGTCATCTACTCAGCCTGGATTTGCCCCTTTGAGTTTGCCTTTCTTCCTTACAAGCAAGATGCATTATTTATCATCGACAACACTGTCAATGGCTTCTTTGCCATTGACATCGTCCTGACATTCTTTGTTGCATATCTAGATAGCCACTCTTACCTTCTTGTTGACGATCACAAGAAAATTGCAGCAAGGTGAATAACCTATCCTTCCTTCAAATAAGCATGATTGTCCAAAACTCTGCTTACTTCATATGGCTCCACTAAACTTACAGGTACCTCTCCTCCTGGTTCATTTTTGATGTCTGCTCAACGGCACCATTTCAGTCCATCAGCCTACTCTTCACTAAACATAGTGGCGAGCTCGGCTTTAAACTGCTTAACATGCTTCGCTTATGGCGTCTGAGACGCGTGAGCTTTCTGTTTGCAAGGTTTGTCATCATCCTATTAAACCTTATGGTTCTGATTTTCTTGTGCACTTCCATTTGAACATCGCCATGCTTAATAGCTCCTTTTCTCTTCCTTAGGCTTGAGAAAGACATCCGCTTCAATTATTTCTGGACAAGGTGCACAAAGCTCATTTCTGTAAGCCACTAAAGCCCATATGTTTCCTCTCTTCCTTTACAATTTCAAGGTACTTCTAACCCATTCCTAAGGCTAAAATCTTAATTTGATTGCCCCTTGCATCAAATCTCAGGTAACCTTGTTTGCAGTGCACTGTGCCGGGTGCTTTAACTATCTGCTTGCAGATAGGTACCCTGATTCTAAAAAGACCTGGATTGGTGCTGTGTACCCAAATTATAAAGAACTAAGTCTCTGGGACAGATATGTGACTTCAATATATTGGTCCATTGTCACACTTACAACTACTGGGTACGGGGACTTGCATGCTGAAAACACAGGGGAGATGCTGTTTGATATCTTCTACATGCTGTTCAACTTGGGATTAACGTCATATATTATTGGAAACATGACAAACCTTGTAGTCCACTGGACCAGCCGCACCAGAAATTTTGTACGTACTCATAAACTAGTTTCTTCTGGCCTATTCTCCCTATCAACGGTTTCAATATCCTATAATACAAGTGTTATCAATTGACATTATATCTAGTAAGTCTCTCCATTATCTCGGACGCTGATTGAAATGCTTGTTTTAGATATCTTAGCGACCCCACATTATGAATTTTTTTAATCTTCAGATCCTAGGAAATTCTTTAAATAGTTTCCTAAAATGGCGCCCTTCATTAATTTCAGCAATGAATAGCTGTTTCTCTTTGTTCATGATATAGTTCATTCAATAATTTGTAACTTCACTTCTTACATCTGACGGTAAGAAGCTTGCTCATGGTGCCAGAGAGACACAGTAAGAGCAGCTTCAGAATTTGCTTCAAGAAACCATTTGCCCCATCATATACAAGATCAAATGTTGTCGCACTTGTGTTTGAAATTTAAAACGGAAGGATTGAAGCAACAAGAAACACTAAATGGTCTGCCTAAGGCGATTCGTTCAAGCATTGCATACCATCTATTTTTTCCCATACTGCAGAAGGTCTACCTCTTCCAAGGAGTTTCTCATGACCTTCTTTTCCAACTGGTAATAGTCCATACTCTAGTTTTTGTTTGATTATAATAACACTCTGTCTCGACTCTAATGTCCACTTTGTCCTTTCATATTCTCTCTTCAGGTAAGAGGAAAATGTAGAATCACCAGTTCCTAATTTATGTATAATATATCATATGACTAAAAAGTTACAAAATCTAACGGTAGTGCTTTTATAACAATAGGTTTCAGAAATAGAAGCAGAATATTTCCCACCCAAGGAAGAAGTGATCCTGCAAAACGAGTCTCCAACAGACCTTTATGTACTGGTTTCAGGGGCGGTGGTGAGTTCTCTAACAGATGAATAATTGGATGGTCTTGAATGTTATACTTATCCTACTAATAATGAATCTTGGTTTTTTTTTTTTTGCCCCAAATGATTGATTATTGCAGGATATTATTCGCTACATTGATGGACGAGATCAAGTATGTATAATATTTAAACATGGTTGTTTCCTTAAGACATGATGACACTACTGAATACAGCTGCTTATTCAAAATTTATTCAGGTTCTTGGCAAGGCAATTGGAGGAGATACATTTGGTGAGATCGGGGTTTTATACAACAGACCACAGCCTTTCACAATTCGGACAGTAGAGCTTTCTCAAGTATTAAGACTTGGCAGAATTTCCTTAATGAATGCCGTACAAGCAGCCCCAGAAGATGCACAAATTATAAGGAATAACCTTTTCATGGTAATAAGGATAGACTTCATCTACTCTTCACCTCCCTTTTTCCAAAAAACATCCTAATTATTGTTCTCCGTATTGACAGAGATTTAGGGGACAAGGCCTGGGTTCTGAATATGTCCATGAAATGCTTTATGGAACAAGAAAAGGAGGCTTTGCTAAAAATTCAAATGGAAATTCCATAGTGAATGAAGGAGAATACAAAGATTTTACAGAGTCGGACGATGCTATTCATGCTGCTGCAAAGGACAGTCAACAAAATATGGTTGAAATTTTGCTCCAGAGAGACACAAATGTAAAGAACCCAAATTCCCAACCATGGACACCGAAAGTTCCCATAGAGCAGCAACAAAACAAGAGCATTTCTGACCTCTTTATCAGTGGTGAAAATAGGAGGAAATCAGATAAATATAGAATAGAGTTGGCGGCTAGGAATGATCTAACCAGAACCAGAAGCCATGATGGTCTTGGCCCCATCGGCTTTCCAATAGAAAAAGCATACCCAACCACTTATTCAGGAAATACCAATGGCCTAGGTGATATAGAAATGGCAAAATGCACGAAAAAGAGAGTTACCATCCACCTGATCTGTGAACACTGTAGTACTGCACAGGGGCATGGGAAATTGATACTTTTGCCTGATTCTTTAGAAGAGCTGCTCAAGGTTGCTGGTAAGCTTTCTTAAACGGCGTAGTTGGTCAAAGATAAACCTATAATTGAAAACAGTGATTGTTAGTATGCTGCAACATCTAAAAGAATTGTACAGAGAAGGGTCTTCCTTTACTTTCTCTTGTATAACTGTTAGCTTGTTAATCTGCAGGTCACAAATTTGAAGGCTCCAAACCTACAAATGTCGTTACTGCACAAAATGCAGAGATAGATGACATAAGTGTCATTCAAGATGGTGATAATCTCTTTCTTCTTTGCAGTGATAGAGAACATTTGAGTTCATGATGTTACCAATGGAGTTAAAATTGCATAGCACGTTACCGCTAGGAAGGTAATGATATAGTAATATTAACGATACCATGCAGGAGCAAAATATCATGAAATCAAAGAGCTCCATTTCAAAAGCTTCTCATTTTCATTGCTGGAAAAAGTTTTACAATTTTTTCAGTATTAGGGAGCTTGCATGTCTAAGAAGAATAATTTGTGTATAATCAAAATGAAAGAAGCGCAAATGAAATTACTGATGTATTGCACGATTCGGACATTTAATGGCTTACAAGCAGAAGTACGCTTGCTTCTTGTATGCATACATGAGTGACATCAAAGAAGCATCTTATTGTACTGCTGCGGTTTGGGTTGCTAAAACTGTCTATTACTGGAACCAGCCATACAACACTTGCAAGAGTCCTAATGAGATGCGAACTTACACTGCCTCCACACTATATTGCTGATAAAAAAAGATTCATAAACCAGATAGCTGCAGAGTGGAAGCTTCTGAGGTTGGATTGGCTGAGAAGCCATGCAGAATAGCATCACTAAATGGAATACGAGACATCAAAAGTTCAGTCAAGTTTTTGGCAGTTTCTAGAACTAAATAAATAGCCAGCTTAGGCCATGTGAGCGTTAAGTTCATTCCCTTTCGCCCCCACCACTAAGAGGGAACGCATTCAAAAGCCTACCCAAAACACGTACTGTTGAATTTTAAAATTCACTTCCAATATCAATAATGGTGATTTTCCTCGCTATTTCTATTCCTAATTGCCTGAACATACAAGACTAAACAAAACCAAAAGATCATTACTCATCAGTAAGAGTGGAAACTTTCCTGTACTAATGCAATCATGCTTTAGGTTACAGGGACACAACTGAACGTGTGATGCTTTAGGACACACCTGGAGAATGAAAGAATTCAAGGCATAGAAGTCCTAGATGCTACTTAAAGAACAAATATGAACTCACAATTATAAATTGTATTTTAAAACTCCACATATAAAGGATCAGATGATAGGGAAATAAACCAATAGTTTTGTTTGTGACTTGTTTGAAGAGAGTTAAAAACGAAAGCCATGATAAAGGGAAACTAATGTCAGGATAAAAAAGAAGGGGTTATAACACCAAATTTCAAATGAATTTAGGCATGTAAGCCACCTAAGTTCAAGAGATGTTTCTATGGGCTAAATAAGGAGGCGAAGTTACAATAAGATGCTAAGCTGCTAGAAATGTTAAAATTACCGGCTCACTCTCTTGAGAGAAAAATAACAAGAGTGCACATAAATTCACCATAAGTTTCCGTAAAGGTCAGTCAAACTCAACTTCATATTTTCATAGCACTCGGTCAACCAACAACATGCTATCTCGACATGTACTGCATTCAATCCCTACCCTAGCTTCGCTGCGAATCTTAAATCAAACAAATCGAAATTCTATTTAAATTCTATTTCTGTAACTAACGGTACTATGACCAATGTAGCATATTTCCACAATCTACGATCAATTAGATAGAACAATTCTAGATGAACTTTATCAAAATAAACTAAGTAACATCTTACACTGAGGAATGAACGGTAGCGAAAGATAGCGCCATCGTCGTCAACATATTTCTTGGAGTAGATCAGAGAGTTCGACCGGCTCGATTCAATCACGAAGCTCCGATTCAGTTGTCCAATCACTTCTTTGTGCATTGGACACAGACTCCCACGAGGATTTTGGGCGGGGAATGCAATTACGCCGAATAGTATACATAACAACAGCATAGCAGGGTTCGGTTTATATATCTTTCCCGCCCCCACTCGCGCGGTCTTCCCCGAAGACGGAGTTTAAGTTATGACAATTGGGCTGTTTGCCAACTTATTTTTGAAAATAATTTTTTGTTCTTAAGAATAAAAAAAATAAAATTTTATATTTAATAATGTATTTTTAAAAATTATTTTAAAAAAATAAAATAAAAATTTTATTTTGAAGAATAGCAAAAATAAAAATATTTTTTAAATATTTTGGAATTATTATTTTAAAGAATATAAGAGAATGAAAAACATTTATTTTTATTTTTGTATTCTCAAAACATGTTTTATGAGACTTTTGTTCTTAGAATAATAAAATAAAATATTTTTTAGGTGTTTTGTAAATCTCTGTGTCTGGACTTTTTGCATCCCAGAACAGATTTTTTTGAATCTCTAACTGGACTTATTGCAAGATCAATTGATATTATTTTTTTGGGAGAATTTCAGTTAAGTTAAGAACAAGGCAAGAGACTTAATATAAGGTGGGCAAAAAATTTTTGAAATTTCAGTTCAATCCATGATAAAAAGTTAAAAGAATTTTAATAGTGAAAAGACCAAAATATCCTTCATGTGTTATACAGAATCACTAGTTGTTAATTTTCTTACTATACTTATTAATTTACTAATATCACTTGTAAATTACATTCATTTGTTAATCAATCAGTAACATTAATTATTAATTTATTAACTTACTAACATCAGTTGTAAATTACAAAACATGTTAGTAATTTATAATTGATATTAGTAATTAAATTACGAAGATCTATCAGTAATTTAAAATCAATGTTAATAAATTAACAAGTAAAATTTAAAATTTAACAACTGATGTTACTATTTATGCTTAAAAAACTGATATCAAATCTTATATAATTATTCATGTAACATCCTGATTTAAAAAAATGATAATAATAGAAATTTATATTATTTGAGATTATTCAGAAATAATAATATGGTTAGAAATTTAATTATGAATTAAAAAAACTTAGGTTTAAAATTATATAAGAAATATTTTGTTAAGATATAATTTTAAGATTTAAAATAAAAAAAATTGTGTGTGTGTGTGTGAGTTAAAAAAAATTAAAAAAAATGGTTGAAGTAAAAAAAAAACAGAGAGAGAGAGGCACTGTTGAAGTCCACATCGATTAGATGTGGGAAGGTGAGGTGCCTCCCACATATAAAAGGAGGAGGCACAGGTGAGGAGGAGCAGAAGGAAGAAAAAGAAAAGTTTATACAATTGTGAAAATTGCAACTAAGAGTCCAAGATGTAATTTAGAGAAAATTATAAGTAATGGCCCAAAGGTTTGAATAATTAAATTCTGACCTATAGTTTTTTTAATATAATTTTGGGACCCACAATCCTATTTTTATATTATTTTTCTCTCTTCCCCTCACGGCGTCTTCTTGCAAGAGGAGATTATTTTCTTTTTTCTTCAGGTATGTTCTAAATTTCCTGTTTAGATTAGCATTTAAAAATTTATTTAATTACAAAATTAATTTTATAGTTATTTTCTAAATAATATTAGCTTTCTAGTGATATGATTATTTTGTAGGATAGAGTAAATATTCTGATTAAGATTTTTCTATAGGATAGTTAATCTGATGATATGATAGATTAAAAATATAGGTTAAAGCTCTTAGGGATATAATAAATATTATAGAATATTTTCTTGAGGTTGAAACTCATGTTTAAGAATTTTTGAGTTAAACTCTAGATCTATATGATTAAATTCATGTCGAATCTGAGATGTAGGGATGAACCTCTGATTATTAAATATTTATTTAAGTATGAATAGGTATTTTTGAGGATATAGAAAGGTGATTTGAGGTTTCAGGATAATTTTAAAATTTTTAATTTATTTTTGGATGAATTTTTAAAATATAGAAGAATGAAATTGTAATACTAGAAGTGATTTGAGGATAAAAAAATAGTTTATTAGGGTACGAGAATTTTAGAAAAGAATTTAGAAAGTTAAATGAGGCATAAATCTTAAATTAGTGTTAATATAGATTATAGATCTAAGACTTTCTAACTCTTTAAATTAGAGTTATTTATTTTAATATAAAATTAATATATAGTATTATGAAATAACTATGTAGATTGTGTTGACAAAGATAGTGGTGAAAGAGGAGTTGTGAAAGGAAACTTATTATTCAAGACACAAGGTAACCATTATTAATGTGTTGTGATGGGTGTGTTTATGAATGGTTATGTGTTGTTTTTGTTGTTTGGAAAAATTATGAATTATTGAAAATAAATACTGTATATACTTGTTTGAAATTATTGCCAAGTGGGTTAGAAAATTTATTTTTGTTTATCATGATGAGATATTATTGTTTGGATATATTTTTGTTTGGATATTTGAATGATGCATGACTTGTCAGGGTATTTTAATGTATGGTGTTAATAGGAATTTCTGTTCGGTTAATTATTACCACGTGGTAGGCCCTCATTGGACCCAATGAGTAGCGTGTCGCTTGGTCCAACTCACCTTTGGCCGGGTGATTTGGCGTCCGAGCATGGTGAAATGAGGATATAAGGTGCAGTCATGCAAATTAAATACTTATTCAATTTGTTTGAAAATATTATTCGGTTAAATGTTTTGTATGCCCACTTAACAATCGCATGATTAGTTACAATCGCATGCATCATTACATATTAATTTTTAGTTACTGAGACTTTTAAGTCTCATTCCCCGTGGTTAATATTTTTACAGGAGCGAGTCCGACCGAGAAAGCACCAGAGGTATAACTATGGTGTATGAGACACCATAGTTTACGTTGCCTTTTATTTTGGATTATACAATGTATCTTGTGCCAACTTAGGACATATCTTCTTTGTGAAGCATGTAAACTCTAATCCTTTTTATTAAAAGTATTTATATGACTAAGAGGATTATGTCTGTCCCTCATAGTTTTAATTGCTTTTTTTGAGATATTTTAAGACCTGTGATATATTGTCTTGAATGTATCATGGTAGGAATTTTTCTACCATGATAAGGGTATGATATGATAAGGGTTCAATGAAAAAAAAAATTTGTTGAATTAATAATTTGCGACAAATTAGTTTATAAATTTGAGAGTGTTACAATTCACATATTAATGCATGTAGTTTGCAACTCATTCATAAATTAACAAATAGAATAAAAAAATTAATAACTATGATTAAGCATAACAAGTAAAGGATATTTTAATCTTTTTATTGTTAAAATTATTTTGACTTTTCTCCCTTAAATAAAACTGAAATTTCAAAAAAAAAAAAAATTTAGATCTACTACAATAAATTTCTATGGTGGTCCTTAAATAAAATTCTCCTATTTTTGTAAATGAATTATTTGAATTACATGAAATCAAAAAATGAGCGGCACTATTGAGTATTGAAAAGCGGAATTTGTTAAAATTTTTATATTATATGCATTTGTTTTGTTTTAAAAAAATAAGATTTTTAAGGGGTTGTTTGTTTTTAATTTTTTAAAAACTGTTTTTTATTTTAAAAATAAAAAAATAAAAAATTTGTTTGGTCAATTGTTTTTTATTTTATTTTTTAAATTTTAAATTTTTTATTTTTAAAAACAAAAAAATGAAAATATCTTAAATTTTTCTTAATTTATTTTTTATTTTTAAAATACATTTTATTTTATTATTAAAAAATATAGTTAGCTTCACAAATTTTTATAAAAAACCATCACTTTTAATCGTATGTAACCATTACTATTAACTTATTTTTAATTCTAAGATTATTTTTGAATTAACATAACTAAGTGATTTTTCATTTTGTTTTGTTTTGAAAAATAATTCTAAAAAATGTATGAAAAATCAGCTTTTAAAAACAAAAAAAAAAAGGGAAACAGAAACCAGAAAATCCCTTATATGTCGTTTGGTATTCTAAAAATATTTTTGATAAAAATAAAAATAAAAATAAAAATAGATATAGAAATAAAAATGAAGGTGGAAGTAAGTTTTAAAAGTATATTTAGTATATATATACAATTATGATATATTTTTTATTTAATATATGTATTTATATAATCAATATAATAAAATACCCCTGTCAATTTTTTTTAATTATGATATACTTTTTATTTAATATATGCATTTATATAATCAATTTATTAAAATACTTCTATCTATTTTTTAAATTATGATATATTTTTTATTTAATATATGCATTTATATAATTAATTTACTAAAATACTCCTATTTATTTTTTTAATTATGATATACTAGTTTATTTAATATGTGCATCTATATAATCAATTTATTAAAATAGCCTTGTCAATTTTTTAATTATGATATATTTTTTATTTAATATATGCGCTTATATAATTAATTTATTAAAATACCCCTATCTATTTTTTTAAATTATGATATACTTTTTTATTTAATATATGCATTTATATAATCAATTTACTAAAATACCCCTACCAATTTTTTTAATTATGATATATTTTTATTTAATATATGCATTTATATAATCAATTTATTAAAAAAATTTTAATTTACTTCAATGATTGATGAAGGGGCAAATCTATCAAACAATTTCATAATTAAGATTATTTTTGCTCGAAAAAATTCACTTCCATAGAACCTATCTCATTTCCATAAGCTTTATTATGGAACTCAATTCAACTTATTTGATGAATTTTATTTCAATATGGAAATCTATTTCATACATACCAAACAAAAAAAAAATGTGAATTACAATTCTATTTTCATTTTCATATCTCCATTTTTAGCATATCAAACGGGACATTAATTCTTACTATTATAATTTTTTCATTTTCAGTATGTCTAGAGAAGTTATATAATTGCAACTGCACTCATGCTTATATTATGGTATCAATATACACACACACACTTTCTCTGATCTTATTTAAGAATTACTTTCAATATATTTTATTAAAATTAAAAAAAAAATCTTAAAATTTAAGAGGAGATGAAGAATGGAGAAGTCGGGAGAGAGGAGATGAAGGGAGAGGATTGGGAGAGAGGATGGTTAAACAAATATTATTGACAGAAAATAAAAGGTAAAAAAATTATAAAAATATTAAAAAAAAAATTAGATGATGTAAAAAGAGCTGTAATGCAGAAGTTATATCCAGTCTTCAGCCTTGTAGGATTTCATGCTGAATGCTCGCTTGAAAGATCAAAAGCCAGGTCTATTAAATATATGTGCGTGTCTATTAGTCCACTGCTCTCAATTTTTATTTTAAATTTGGCTTTTCTTCATTTTCTTTTTATTTTTTATGTCAATTATTAATTTTTTTAATGTTTGAGATTTGATGTTTCATAAATAAATTTTCAATAATAATTTTGTAAAATATTAAATCTCAATCATTAAAAAGTAAATTTAATGATTGAGATGAAAAGTGAAGAATAAATGGAGGGAAATAAAAATAGAAAGAAACTGGGTCCATTGAGAAGTGGGATGGAGAGGAATGTGGGATGGAGAGGAATCAGATGAGCAGGAGACGCTTCACACTTCGACGTTCAGCCACCGCATCAAACAACCCAAGGCTGACTCACACCACTCTGCCTGGCCTCCCCTTTTCTCCACTTGGATTTAGATTTGGTAAATAAATTAAATTCACTTATTTAATAAATATTTCAATTATAATTATTAAATTTTATTAATATTTAAAAATTATCAAGATCATTTTTTTTTTCAAAAATTCAAAACACTACCCACATACTCTAAAAAAATTGAGATTTGTGATACTTTCTATTTTTAAATATTATATAATAAAATCTTTTATAGTCATTAAATTAAATTAAATAATTATTATCATGCTAGGTGAGAATTCCTTGACTAAAATGGACTTAAACCATTTACTGAATCCAGATTTGTTTGTACTGCCGTCTTTTTGTTCTTGCTTTTCGACTTCCAAGAGTGTAGTAGCTTGCCACTTCCAGCCTTTTTTTTCTTTTTTTTATCATCCTCAATTGCTTTTTATACATGGAGCCCAATTACCCTGTGATCTAGTGGCACCTATCAAAGATAAAAAAAATCTTACATTTAAAAATTAAAAAATAAATTATGAGTATGTAAAATTTGAGATGTATCTAATTAAATGATTTAAATTATTTTGGTAAAATATAATATCTTTTAATATGCCAAAACTTTTAAAGGAGAATTACTAGTATTCATCTTAAAATTTAATAAGTTTTCATATTTTTTTTAATAAATATTCTTAAATTTCATTGCTAGTATTTTTATTCAAAATATTTAATAAGAGCAAAAATATAGAGAGAACCGTTATTATCCTATAAATAGAACCGGATGAGTATACTCAGGTCATGATCAGTTCCAAAACTGTGCATAGAAAAGCTGGAGTCTTGATCATGTTAAAGGGTAAACCGTTATTATTAAAATCATGGAATTAGCCCTTTTTTCCCTCTTAGATGAGGATGGTCGATGCAATTATCCTTATTTATTTTGTTTGTTGATATTTTCCTCTTGCCTCTTATGAGGATGATATAAAGTTGTCACATGATAGAAACAAAGGGGGAAAAAAAATAGAAAAGTACAAGTTGACAACGTTTGTACCCATGCTTAAAATTTCATCACGAACCCATAAAGTGAACATCCATTATTTATTATTATTATTATTATTATTATTATTATTACAATTAATTAGGCTCTACGTTCATGAGGAGTTACATATTACATATTTAATCTCAAAAGCCACCAATAACCCATTGAAATTCCCCACCATCCCCTCATCATTTCTGTTTCTCCGCAAAATGTTGCTCAAAACTTAGCGCTTCTATTGGTTCTTATGATGGGTGATGATCTGAATCAAAGCCTCAAGTGCTTGTGCACAACCCTGTTGATGTTTCTCTTCATCTTCCTGATCTTCTCCTCTCACACTGTTTCTTCTTCACCTTCTTCCTCGACCCAGCAAATCCAAACCCAAAACGAGCCTCCTTCCAGAGTTCCCATCATTCCCACCCATCATCACCAAATGTTCAACCTCAAGAACGGCGATCCCATCTTCCAAGAACGCTTCAAGAAGAAGAAGGCCAAGAAGCACAGGAAGAAGACGACCAAGAAGCCGATCAGGTCTAGGCCTGCTTTGATCTCTGTGATGCTCCCAAAGGGTCTTGTCCCACCGTCTCGTTCGTCTCCTTGTCACAACCAATACCCAACCTCAATGTCCTTCCACTGCCATCTGGGCCATAAAAATTGAAACCCCACGCCACACTGTCATATGTGTGTGTGTGTGTGTGTGTGTGTGTGTGTATGCATGCCATATATGCTCTGCAGGGAGCTAATAATGTGATGATCTTGGTCAGTCCTTTTGAATTTTCCTCTCCATTTCGGCTTTTTCATGTGAGTCTTGTTTCTTTCTCTCTGGCTTCGTTGGAAAATAGTATTCAATAGGGAATGCTCAATGTACGTTATATATACGGTATAATAAGAGAGAATCTATGATGAACCAGTCTTTTGTTCATTCATTTCTGCATTACTACACTCTCTTCTCCTTGCTGGATCTCTCTTTTTCTTTTGCCGTTTCAGAAGTAAAGGGAGATAGAGATGTCTGTTGTTGAAGTATGAATGTTTCTTCGATCAGTACTGGGCTTGATTAGAATGATACAATGCCTCGAAAATAAAATATAAAATAACAGTTTAACAAGTGCTCATCAAGAGAGGCATGTGAAAGTGTTTCGTCGGACAAAGCAAAAATGTTGTGTAGTTTCGTGGCATCTACTTCGTTCAACTTATGCATGCGACGCTTTCCAGACGATGCGCCTCACAACTCCAAAAAACGGATCTATGTCCCAAGATATTAATTATATATTCTTTATTAAAATAACAATGAAATCTTGACTTTTAATTATTTGAGCTCGACGACTTCACAATCATATCGAGGGGAATTTCATTTACCAAGCAAGAAAAGATCATGAATATCATCGACTGAGTGATCTACGTGTACAAGAAGAGAGCAATTTTTTAAAAAATGAGGTGCTCATAATATTAAAAAAATGTTCCCCCCTCACTTTCAACAATAGGTGCCTTTTAACCAATATTAAAAGTCCCATGTAAAAAACAAATTTCATGTTAGTGTGAGCTTACTTAAAACCGGCTTGATTTGAAAGTTTATTTAAAAGCTTACTTAAAAATAAACCTTTTAAATAAGCTCGCATTTTAATTTTAAATGTCTCAAATATACTTTAGGACTATTAGTATTAATATATAATATAATTTATCAATTACAATATATAATAATTAAAAGGACTTGCCAACTACAATACAATACAATAATAAAGTAATAACATTAAAATTAATACATAAGTTCAATCTGATTGAAAACATAACTAAAGATAAAAAAATAGATTGATTACAAATCAAATTGTGAAGTTGATATTTGTGTGATATATTACATAATATGTATTTGTGTAAATAAGTTGATTTGGTGGGCTTGTAAATTGGGCCTTGAAAACTTGGGCTTTAAATAGGCCTAATTAAAGACTTGAATATGACTTGAAACTGTTTAGTAAATAGGTTAAGTTGGGTTTGAAATAAACCAAAGAATAGACCCTTAATAGAGGCTCAACCAATTCCCATACTTAGTGAGGCTACATTTAAGACTCTGTTAGATAATCTCATACAACCAATAGATATCTTTGGTTGGAATTAGAAGTATATTAAAGTCTAATAATATAACTTGGGAGGATGACAAGTAAGGATCTAGGAAGAATATTATATTAATGTCAAGTTAAAATTTGTTCACTTTTCCAAATTCAATACTCTTTCTATTATGTTTTGGTACTAAAATGATTAAAAAAAAAGAAAATTCATAAAACTCCCTAAACTTTGATATAGTTGCATCTCTTCTCACATTTAAACATTTAAAATTAACCTCATAACTTTTAATTTTATTTTTCAAAACTACTACTATTAATTAACTATTATTTTATTGATATAGTTATTGTCATGTCAATTAATACAATAGAAGTGACATATATATGACATAGAAAAAATATTTTTACTATTTTTAACACAATTTATGAATGGGCAAAATTATGATTTTTACTTTTAATATATATGACAATGCTTTTTTTGGTTGAGCAACATTGTTCTCATTATTTATGAGTAACAAAAATGAAGAGAAAAAATATAATTTTTTTATTTTTATCAATTAAAACATCAACTTATTTGAAAAAAATTAAAAGAATATGCAAAAACTATCATTAATAAAAATAATATAAATAAAAAATTTATTCTTTAATATGAGAAAACTATGATATTTTACATGTTTTTAACAAAATCGATACAAATCACTAATATAAAAAAAATCGCATTCTTAGTAGCACTTATTTCATTTGTAACATACTAGTAATATATATTTTTGTTTGAATAAGTACTAAAAACTTGATTTAAAGAAAAAAAATAATAGCTACAAATAAATAAGAATTTGAAAAAAAAATAAAGCAAATAACGAAATTTATATGACTCTTACCAACAATAGGGTTCATATATTTTTCTTTTAATTTGTTTAATATAAAAATATATTTTAATTAATAAATAATAATAAAATTATAATTGTTCTCTTAAACTGTATTGATCGTGAATAATGAGAGCAATGTCATTCAACTAAAAAAATTGAGAGCATCGTGATGTGTGTTAAAAATAAAATTATAATTTTATCACTTCTTAAATTGTGCTAAAAATAATCAAACTATTTCTCCCATGTCATATGCCATATGTATTGCATTAATATGACATAGCAATAACTATATTAATAAAATAATAGTTGATTAATCATAGGATAGGGGGTTTTGAAAAATAAAATTAAAGATTAGGGAGGTTAATTTTAAACACTAAAAGGTGAGGAAAATCATGTCCAACTGTCTCAAAATTCAGGCAGATTTTATATAGTTTAGTCTAAAAAAACCTTGATTTAGCGTTAATCTTTTTATGAGGTTTACTTGTCATTTTGCCATTAACACTTGTGATTATTCTAATGCCATTTACTCTCACTTGTAAATAACTAAAACATTCTCAAGTACGATTTACGTTTTTATGAAATTGTTCCTATTTTGCCAAATACTTAATTATTAGAGTATGATCTATGATTACTATTCAAACATGTCCAAGTCATTACTTTTATATCAACTAAATCTCATACATCATGTACTTGTATATGGGAATGAGGAACCACACTTATCATGATAATGAAAATGGTTTTTAATGGTTTATTTGTGTGTATATGTTGATTATTATTTCTATATTATCAATTTGAATTTATCTATTATTTTCAAAGTTTAAGAAATCTACTACTATAGGTTATCAAAAACTCTTAGAGCTGGTAATTCAAGTGGGTTAGACTTAAAGTATCATACTTTTTTGAAAAAGATTATATAGTTAAGTCTGACCATAACATTTTTTGAGGGAGGGGGTTCGGGCTAGCCTGTTAAACTGAACCCAAATTATTGGTTCTAAAAATTATAATAAATAATTTCTCTATAAGACTACATCACATTATCATGCCTAAAAACTACATATTGTTATTCTTGTGCTGATATGGGTTCATTATTTAATTAAAAAAATGAAATGGGCTTCACTATTTTCTTGAAATATAAATGGATTTTCAATTTTTGGACTGCAAGCAAATTGGATCATATGTGAGCAAGGGCCATACGATAGGACACAACTACATGGCACAACACATGAGGACCTACTTGTCCCAAAATGCCAAACCTTTTTAGCCCTGCTTGGTAAGGAAGCCTCAATTTAGAGAATTTGAAATTGAGATTGGTATTGATATTGGTAATAGAAATGAGAGTAGGAATAAAACTTTAAAATTATGCTTGGTATGAAGTAATATTTGCAGAAAATACTTACTGTTGTTTTATTTTATAATTAAATATAAATTATAAAAATACTATAATACCCATAAAGAATTTAAAAAAATGTAACTATAACTCATTATTCGAACACTCTCCCTCTCCCCTAAAATGAACAACCATGGCCGTGCAAGGGAGGCTCTTTCCACTACTCATCTTTATCATCATCTTCTTCTTTCTTCTTCTAGTTACTCTTCTAGTTTAACCTTGTCGCCAGCCTCTCCTCTTCTTTCTTCTTTTGGTTTGAACTAAGATTATGAGAATGTCAAGGATGCAAATGACGACGAGGACAACACAGTGGTGGGATTAGGTGGTCGTAGCTTGAGTTTAGAAAAATTATACAAATAACATCATCAATCATTCTCATCCTTCTCTCATCTTCAATCTCCTTCTTAGCCTTTCAAGTCTAGCGACGGTGTCAATGGAGGAGAGACTAGCATCAATGGAGGAGGGGTCGATGTTGCTTGCTTTGAATGGATGGAAAAAAGGGAGAGCTTGGATGGAGACGTCAACTGACGAGAGGGTAAAGGGAGGGAGACAATGGAGAGAGAAGGGGGCAATTCGGTCTGAAAATAGTCAATCTTAAGATTGATTTTTCTAATATCGGCAGTGGTATATTAAGCAATCCCACGTAGATGGGACTGGCATTAGGATTAAATTTTTCATTCTTTCATACTAAATATGAAAAAGTAGGATTATCTGATCCCAATTCTAGTCCCACCTTACCATTCCTTCCTACCAAGCAGGGCCTTTAAGTCCTGAACCAAAAAAAAAACACTTATAAATAAGTTCCATTTGTGGAAATACACTTAAGCTATATAGTTGGCAATTATATAGCAATTATTTGAAAATAACCGCTATATATATGAGCATTTTTTTTAGAAAAAAAATAGGGGTTGCATTTTTAGCGGCCCCCCATTATATTTTCTTTTATTCTTTTTCCTTTTAAATTCTTGAACAAAGTGGAGTAAAAAAAATAAAAAAAATAAAGACAGAGTAGTAGAAACAATATCCAGATTTGAAATTAACAACAATTAACACTAAGATTTTCCTTTTAACAATTTAAATGCAAAATAAAAAATAAAAACTATAGATTTGAAAAAGCAAAGAAGCATCCTCATAAAAAAGATGAACTTAAACCAATACCACACAAATTTGAAAAACTACATACTTGAAACTAAAAACTACAAATTGTAGTTGCAAATCTAGAAGAATAGCCTTTCATTTAATAATATAACCAGGGATGACGATGAGAGAGAGTTGAAGGAGAGTAATGTCGGTGAGATCGGGTACCACACAAACTAAACAATGGTGCATGGTGTTGTGGGTGCACATAGAA